AGCCCAGGGACACCCGAGCAAAGCTGCCGCCTGGGCCGCTTTGCTCGTTTGCCCGGGAGCAAAGCCGCCCAGGGAGCGGGACCCCTTCCCCCAGCAGACCAGGGAGACAGGAGCAAAGCCACACGGGCGGCGGGGTCCCTCCGCCTGTGCGGCTTTGCTCGGGTCTCCCTGGTGTGCTGGGGGGACTCCCCCCAGTACCCCAGGGAGACAGGAGCAAAGCCGCACGGGCAGCGGGGTCTCTCTGCCTGTGTGGCTTTGCTCGGGTCTCCCTGGTCTGCTGGGGGGGGGAGGGGGCGCAGCTAGTGCACCCCCCCCCCAGCAGATCAGGCTTTTGTTGCGGAACGCCTCGGGTAGAGCAGCTGGGGTGCTGCTGGGTTGGTCCTGTGGGAACCTACCCGACAGCGCCCCAGCTGTTCTGTCCCAGGCTCCAGATTCAGCAGCTGTTGAAACTGATCAGGCTGATTCCCGGAAGCTAGGGGCAGAGCAACTCTGCCTCCGGCTTCCTGTAGTCAGCCTCTGGTCGGTTTCAGTGGCAGCAGCTGAATCTGGAGCCAGTTCCGACTTACATACAAATTCAACTTAAGAACAAACCTATAGTTCCTATCTTGTACGTTACCCGGGGACTGCCTGTATAGGAAAAGAGCCAATAGTGACAGCCCAGACAAACTAAGCAGCATAGTTATGGTTACTTTCTCAGTGGTTGCAATGTTACAGCAACTTGGCAATGAACTTGAGCTCTTTTTTGTAGAGAAAGAAAGCCATCAAAACTAACAGAATAATAGAAATGTAGGAATGGAAGTGAACTGAAGAACTCAAGTTAAGTTCCTTTCACTGAGGCAAGACCAAATGAACCTAAACCATCTTTGAATCTGGCAGGTGTTTATCCAATCTGTTGTTTAAAACCTTCAATGATAGAGATTCCATAAACTCCCTTAGAAGCCTATTCCCGACCTTACCTAACATTATTACAAAAAAATTGCTAATATCTAACATAAATCTTCCTTGGTGTAGATTAAGTCAGTTACTACTTGTCTCACCTTCTATGGACATGAAGAACAATTGATTGCAGTTATCTTTATAACATCCATTTACATATATAAAAACTGTTATCTTGTCTCACCGAGTTTTCTTTTCTCAAGACTAAACATGCCCATTTCTTTTGATCTTTCAGGTTTTCTAAGCCTTTTATCGTTTTTGTTCTTTTAGTTTTTGGGTGCCCAGAATTTCAGGATGTTCAGACTCTGTGCTTTTTTGGCGGGGAGAGGATTAACATTTCTTTTCAATTCTGTCAGTTTGATGGCTGCTTCTTATTTATACTCATCACAAAGTATTAAACAAACTGCACAGCATATTTTCCTTTTTATGAAGGGAATTCTATTTCTAAAATGTAAATTTCATGGCATATAAGTGGCTGCTACTTTTAAACTTTCTACAAGTTATTCTTTCAGTTATTGTTGGATATTGTAATATTCCTGATGCTGCCTGTCCCCATTCACTATTCTGATGACAGGGAGACAACAGGATGTCAACAAGCCATGCAGTCTGCTGTTGCTCAAATAATTCATTGAAGGTGGATGCAGGGGACAGTGGTTTGAAATAAAAGGGGTCTTCCATTAAAGTAATATGAGTGCCATTTTGATTCATTATGTGCATTAGAATTATGGAGAGTATATCTGGCATTTTTATAAATAATCATAAGACTAAAATGTTGCAGCGGGCCTTCTTTAAGAATTCTTCCATATCACAATCCTGAATGATCAACAGACTAAGGAAATAATTTATTTTGGGTGTAAAAAGTCAAATAATTGACAAAGGCAAAAACAACATTTTGAAGGTCTGAAATGATGCTTCAGTCTCTGTTTTAAAACTTACCGCATGACTGCTCACATAAAAAATATTAAAAACATTTATTTTTGGGAACAGTTATTTTCTTGATTGCTATTAAATCTGGTGTACAAGATCACATGATGGATTTTATAAGCATAACTTTGGTAGCTTTAAAAAATTATCAATGTTTTATCAAATTATCAAATATTCATCATTGTTCAAAAACCTGTCCATTCAAATGTGAGAATAAAGTTGCACTAAGACTGTCTTTAAGAACCCTGCTTAATGACATCATAGATTCTAAGGTCAAAAGGTCCACTGTGATCACCTAGTCTGACCTTCTACATAACGCAAGCCTTAGAACATCCTCATAATTATTATTGTTTAAACTAGAGCATATATTTGTAAAAATATGTTGATTTTAATAGTTGTCAGTGATGAAAAGTCCACCATGATCCTTTGCAAGTTCTTCCAATTGTTAATTAACCTCACTGATAAATTGTGTTTTTTCTGGTCTGAATTCATCCCTTTTCAAGCTTTACTCTGCCACATTGAAAAGCCCATTACAAATATTTGTTGAGTAGATTTAGGTACTCATAAAGTATGAGCATGTCACCCCTCAATCTTTTCTTAAATTAAGTAGATTGAGATCCTTCAGTCTAGTGTGATAGACATGTTTTCCAATCCTTCAGTCATTCTCGTGGCTCTTCTCTGAGCCTTCTACAATTTACCAACATAGCCCAATTTTTTTTTCTGATATCAGAAGTTTAGGTAAGAGTAAATTAGATAAGAGTAAGGATTTTAGGTAAATTTTACCAGGTAAGAGTATTTTACTGTCTGTAGGTTTCAGCGATTTCTCTTCTACCATCGTGTGAGTGAACTAACGTTGATCTGAGTGTGACAAATTGGCATAGCAAAACCAAGTGTAAAATTTTTAAAAATGCCTCAGTTTTGAAAAATCAATTTTGAAACTGGAACTGGGCCTCAAAGTCACTCAGGCACTCTTGAAAATGTTATCCCTAGTCTCATCCTACCTATCTTATACTACTCAGGAAAGGCTTATGGACTGCAGAGGGTTTTTTGGACCAATCCTATATTGTCACCAGCACTACAGGAATATGAGTTGTATAATGCAGCGCTATTCATGACTGGTTGCTTTTGGATGCAAAATAACATGATAATATTTATTCATAACACAAAATTATAGCTCTGTGTCTATTGGGAAAACACTCTTCATTTCATCAGATCTGAATATGGTGATTAATCCAAACAGTTCAATCATCCCTAATTATTAAGACCCAGATTCAGAAAAGTACTTATGTAGATGATGACCTTTTAAGCACGAGTAGTTCCAGTGACTATGCATGTGATGAGGCTACTTCTGTCTTTAAAGTTAGATATGCGCTTAAGTACCTTGCTGATTTGGAGCAGACAAGGAGTAAGGATTGTTTTCCTCTGAATTTGGATAATGTCTAGCATATTGTGGGTAACATCACAATGTAAATTGTCAAATGAAATGCGATGCTTTTGTTTAAATATAATAGATATACATTCTTCCTCTCTTATGCTACATATATCACATTATAGCTACACAATCTTGTGTCTTCTGTAGTTTTAAAACCTATTTATCAACCAGAACTTCCACGAAGGCTTTTTTAACAGCTGATACAGTCTTTGCAGAGAGGTCATTAGTTTTTGGTATGGCAGTGTATTTAAAGTGCAATTATACTCTGGAAAGTGATAGTAACCATCTTTACTGTCTTTCATTGAACATGGAAGTCAGTGTGGTCCCAAACAAAAAGCCTTGAGCAAAATGTTCTTCAAGGTTAAGTAGATTCAGAATATGAACTAAGATCTGGATCAGAATTTCACAGTTGGATCCAACTATATATTTGGCCAAGTCTAAATCTCAGATCTGAGCATTCCAAATTTTTGGGACATCAAAATCGATCTGAATTTTCTAATTTACCCCCATCTATACTTTATAGCAAATCTTTCAGTTAACATGGTAAACGATTTCCCCCCTTAATTTACCATTGCAATTTTCAAGTAGGACTGTGTTTTTTCTGACTTTGACATGATCAATAACAATCATATTGCATCTGGGACTTACTTAATAATCCTGTGAATGTGTGAGCTCCAGAAAAGAATTCAGCACATTTTCGTAACTCTGTTGGCTCTTCTGTGATAACAGAAGGAAAAAGTAATAATCCCTTATTTTTGCCACTTAACAGATAAGACTTAACACGTATAGCGAATAGATGTATTAACTGATAAGGTGTCATTTTAACACATTCCCATTCCTGAACATAACTAAACTTTCAATTTATAGTATTGTGAAAATGTATGGAATTTTTTCCTTATGAATTGTAGCCCATTTGTTTTGTTTTGTTTCCCTTCCCTCTTCAGATGTATAAGATCCTTACTTGGATTGATACTATGTGACTGATCGTGATAAGACTTTTGGAGTCTAGAATTAAAGCAGTACTATTGGTTCACCACGAGTCTCCTGCTGCTTGTGAAGCAATCTGCAGCCAGAACTTATTGTTGTCAGGCAATGTGTAATGTGGTGGAGTAGGCCCTGAGACACCTTGCTGGAGGCCTTGCAGCCCTGCCACGCCCTGTCCCAGAAAAGGGCAGTGGAGTAGGTTCTCCAAGATGCCCAGAATGACTGACTGGGATATAGCCAAATAAAAGTGACTACAGGGAGCAACCATTCAGGAACCAGCAGGGTAGTATAAAAGGAGCTACAAGGCCACTGTGAATGCAGTTGCTTGATGGAACTGGTGGACCATGGACAATGTACCTAGCTGGCTGAAGACTACAGGACCTCGGACAGAGTAGTGCTGGCAGATACTGGATGGAAGCAAGAAGGAGCTCCGGGTTGGCTGCTAGGACTCAATCACGATGAGGCTCTGAGGTAAGTGTGAAGAGTGTGCTGGGGCTATGGGAAAGTAGTCCAGGGAATTGTAGCAGTGATACAGTTTATATAAACGGGTGTCGTGGAGGGCATCTGTCCAAAGAGTCCCTGGGCTTGCATCTCTCCTGCCCCCATTAGCCACTGGAGAAGTGGCCTTGACTTTTGATTCACCCCAGAAAAGGGAACTGAACACTTTTAGTAGCCTAGCAGAAAAGCTGGGGCTGGAAAAGCCCCGAGAAGGTGAAGACCTTACCTACAGGGAGGAAGGTCTGGGACTTCCCTCTGTAGCAGAGCAGGAACCCTTTGAGAGAACCCAGAAGAAGATGAGAGACTATTTGAATCAGAGTACAGGCAGTCCCCGGGTTACGTACAAGATAGGGACTATAGGTTTGTTCTTAAGTTGAATTTGTACGTAACTCGGAACTGGCTCCAGATTCAGCCGCTGCTGCTGAAACTGACCAGGGACTGACTACAGGAAGCCCGAGGCAGAGTTGCTCTGCCTCCAGCTTCCTGGAATCAGCCACTGATCAGTTTCAACAGCGGCTGAATCTGGAGCCTGGGACAGAACAGCTGGGGCGCTGCCGGGTAGATCCCCCCAGGACCAACCCGGCAGCACTCCAGCTGCTCTACCCCAGGCGTCCACAACAAAAGCCTGGTCTGCTGGGGGGGGTGCACTAGCTGCGGCCCCCCCCCCCCCCCCCCCCCACCCGCC